TAGTCGATTGTTAGAGCAAATATACGTTTGCTTCATCGACAATCCCACCAAAGAGTTTGATACGGCAAAAGGCCTGTCTTTCCTCAAAACTCACATTTGCCCTCTGACCCGAGGGCACTCGTGGCAATTAGCCGAGCGGTTAACGTGTCGAGCTCACATTCTACAGTCACGGTTCGAATCCCGCTGAGGGCTTTGATAAGACCAATGCGAGGTCTAAACTGCAGTCTACCCTGAATGAGAACAACTTTTGGGAAAGCAATGCTATGTGAAATTCAATTGAAATGTCAGCCCTACTCATATAATTGTGGGAAAATTCGTTTATCAGTCTTTCATAACCTTAAATAAAATTGGGTGAATACATCTTCGCAGCTTAGTCGTATTGTCAGCGTGGCCTAGTTTAACCCAGCCTGGTCGAAGTCCTCTGCTATAGTAGTTATGGTGACTACTAGTCGGAAAGTGAACATTGTACATTCCCAGACGTTTCGCTGAAATCGTTTATTTGACGAATTTTAGCTTAGTGCTAAGAATGGTAAGACTCTGTCAATTCAGGGAAAACGTTCGTGAATGTACCAAGTCAACAGTCAAGCGCTGGGAGTTTACATAATTACTATAACAGATGCAACTGGGTCGCCCTGACAAAACAATAAAGTTGCGAAAACGAGATCAAACCACTTCGATCCTACAATAGCTTCCGCACTGCCATTATGCTATTGATTTGCGTGAATCCTACCATTTTTCTGCTCTTATAATGAATAGGATAGCACATATGCGCTCAAAAATATAAAGTAAGGCTTGCATATGCATAACCAAAGGTATGAAAGCATAAATGACAAACATCCGAGTACTGTGTCAACGAAATCTAAGGTCGAGTGCTTACCAAACAAACGTAAAGTTACGGATGTAGCAGAAACGGGATTAAGGTAATATGACAAAAGATGTATAGAATCAAGAAGGTTGTATACCTTAACTTTGCCATCCATTCCGGCCGAAAGCAAAATATGTCCAGTTTGAGGAAATAATTTAAATGCAGCAACACCGTTAGTATGTGCATTTACCCACTCATGCATGAGCTTCTTGGGTAGAAAACACCGTTCAGGAGGCTCTTGTGAAAAGAACTTGACTCCGACGACATCATGCGGTGGGTGGAGAAATGAACGCCCCTATAAAAACCATAAATGGATGTAATCAAAGCAACGGAAAATACAAACATTGTGATTTTACTAACTTGGTAGTCAACTGGAGATTTAATATGCAAAGTAGACTTTTCCTCTACTGGAGCTTCCTCAACTCTACGCTTTCTAGTAGCACGTTTTGCAAGATATGCCTCTAAGTAGACTCGATCTTCCTCTGAGGGCATTGATACGGTTTCTTCACCCACATATTTACCCCATGGTCCAGTGAAATCCTCCTTTGTTGGGTCCCATTTACAATCTCTTTTTCTCAAGTCACCCTTGCGTTTTTTCGATTTCTCAAAAACAGTCTTCCCATCTGTCTCAGATACTTTGTCAACATCGCCCACAAGGTTTTGAGTGCCACATTCGGCAGTCGGATCTCTGGCATAACCATAACTCACGAAAGTTCTGTGCTGATTTTCGAAAGAAAATTCATTAACGTGTGCTTCCTCCACATATCCAGTGAGTGTATTTTTTGGGGCCAATTGTTTGATAGATTTAAAGGGGTTCACAGGTCCAAGCTGAGCAAATAAAATTAAGAAAGAAAGCTTACCATAGGAGTATACATCTGTTCAAAAGTTGGATTGTGGATTAACTCACGACAATAAGGGTCAACAGGAATTAGGGAAAGTTGTTCGTCCTGCAAATATAATGCAAAACAGAGATAACCTTATGCTCAACAGGTGGAGCGGCATTAACAGATGAAAAAACCGAGCTATTCAGCAGAGAACTGGGGTGATGTGGAGATTCTGATTTGTCTTCTTCTGAAGAACTCGAGTCATAGTTGACAACTAAAGATTGCATTACGATCTGAACAATCGTAGAGCACGCAATGAATTAAGTATATTTAAACTAAATTGATGAAATCACTAAACCAAGAAGATTAAGTATAATATAACGTAAATTTTATGATAACTAGTAAAATGAAAATATAAAAATACTCAGGCAATCTAATTAAAAGCCTAGTGGTCCGCAAATAAGGGCTTCAATTCATGCACATTTGAGGGTTAAATTTTATGTATAATCACCCTAAAGCTTTTATGATTTACCTTTTATATAGTCATATCATTGGAGTAATAGGGACGTTCATATATCAAATAAACTGAGAAATAAAGTTATTGAATTTCAAAGATTGTTAGTTTAAAAATATTTGAATAGTATATTTAAGCTTGGAGTTACATTTTTAATGAGTATTTAACTAAGGATAGAGAAACGAATTAAGTTAACTATTTCGAAACCCTAGAAATCAGTTTATAACAAAAGGTGAAATTTTCTAGCAACGACCATATAAACAAAAGAAGTAGCAGAAGGAGTATTTTACATAATCTAGGTTAAAGGTTATGATTGAACTTCATAGAAAAGTAGCTCAAATTATGACTTTAGACGGAAAAGAACGCATTTCATTCATTCTATTTGGACAATCTAGCTGATCCTAAAACGATTTACTTTACTGGAACAATTATGGTGATTCTGTTTCCAAGGCGATTTCCTTCGATTCTGGTGAAAAGATGCTAGGATTCCGTCTGTCATATGACGGACATCACAAGAGCAAGGTATCATCGTCACAACCAAATTCAAGCTAACGAGTCAAGAAAACGTACTTTATCTGGCCTCGCAAATTATGACTTTAGATAGAAAATAAGGCATTTTATTCATAATGTTTGTGCTATCTAATTAATCCCAAAACTATTTGCTATTACAATTATGTAGATTGGCTTTATTGGAACATTCATGGTGACGCTGTTTCCGAGATAATCTCTTTCGATTCCGGTGAAAAGGTACTAAGATTTCGTCCGTCATATAAGGAATATTATCAGAGCAAAGTATCATCGTAACGTCCAAATTCAAGCTAACAAGTCAAAAAAACTCACCAACAAATATCTAAACAGTGGTATATATACTCTATATCTAACCTCTTTGATCAGGTATAAAGTTATTAGATTATATAATGTCATCTATCAACCTCGAAGCATGTGAGCGTGTCAGTCTCTGGATGTGTGTGTGCTAATTTGTGTTCGCCTATGTAAGAAACCCGCAGTGATGGCTCAAAGTAATTACAACAGCAAAGATGACGTCTGTTGTTGGCCATTAAGTTGTGATGACCATTATCTCCCTCTTATATACATGTTATAACAATCACTCCCATTGCGCAAGTTCAAATACACTTTACCTTTAATTAAAAAATTTAGGCACAGTGCAAGGCCTAGCAATGAGAGCTTACTTGGCTCCCATTTTAGCTAATAATTACATGTTTCCAATGAAATAACACTTCATGAAAGAGGTTAAATCGACACCCAAACTTTTATTAGATATATGGAGGACTGCCCTGCCATATGGCAGCATGATAGTATAGATTAGATAATATCCTATCTCTAATTAATCAGACTGATTGCAATCTTAAGTTAACAATGCAGATGGAGATGAAAAATAAATGAAACAATTTAGATATCTTTGTGATTAAAGTAGGTGAGAAGTTAAGCAAGGATGTGTACAGAAAGCCAATACAAGTTGTGTTTATGGTTAAATTCTTCTCCAATTATAGATACAAAACAAAGGTTAGAGTTTTAAAATCTTAAGTCTAGCTGATAGAAGCCATTGTGAACAATAACTGGATCGTTGAGCTCACTTTCATTTCAAGTAAAAGTGTTGGATGAAGAGATTCGAAGGTCGGTTTCACCAAAAGACGACTGCAGATTCCTCTATACCAGCTGTCGATTGGCTTTACTGGGAGATTCATGCTGACGCTGTTTCCGAGGCAATCTGCTTCGATTCAGGTAGAAAGGTGCTAAGATTTCGTCAGCTATATCACGAACATCATCAGAGCAAGATATCGTCGTCACAACAAAATTCAAGCTAATGAGTCAAAAAAGCTCACCAGTAAATATCTAAAAAGCGGTATATATACTCAATATCTGGCTTATTTGATTAGTTATAAAGTGAGTTGGCTAGCTACGGTCATATGTCAACCTCAAAGCATATGAAAAACAAGTCAAATTGAGTCTACAATACTTTATATAAGATGGTAAGGATTGATAGTGAAATTTTTCCACAATGGAATGAGTAGGCCTCATGTTTCCATTAAATTTTATATAGACTTTGTTTGACCTTATTTTCGCAACATGGTCATATTGGTAGGAAGACTTATTGGAACGCACCTAGTCCGGGGTCCATTGTCTGAATTATCATTTCCATAGTTGAACCGTGGACGTGGGACATTCCCAAACTCCGGCATCGTAGTCGGCATCGTCAGTGAGTTCGCCATTCTTAGCACCACACAACAACTCGTCAAAGAGACAAGTGAAGCCGATCCTTTGACCAGACTTGTACTAAAAAATTGTGGTATCTCCGCTTCTGCCCTGGGTTATTCGCATTTTCGGTTGCATCCTATCTTGCCTTCACTATTACTATTTTTACCGTGTTTATGTAGATAGCGTTGTGTGCCCCTTTGAGCGACATTAAGCCTTCACATTC